TTCGGATTTAATAAACCATAAAATCGGGTCGGGTTCAAGGCGAGCAAAACTCGTCCCGAACCCGACCCGATGCCATCCTTGCTTAGGAGGCTTATATACGCAAGTGGATTAGAAGTGATTGGAGAATCTAATAATCCAGTTCTTCTTATAAAATACAAAATGGCATCTGAATGTGAGTATATATACTTTGTTGAAATTCAAATGTAAGTATGATATTTCAAGCGTTGGTTAAAATTTAATTGTGTTTACTCGAAGATTAAATTCTGGCGATTTGGTGGATTCCTTAATCAAATTTATATAAACGGAGGTCAAATATAACATTTAGGGCCCTAATCCGAACCTCATTCTATTATTAGACTCATCAAGTTGGACCTACCTAAAACAGGTATTGTCATTTTGGGAAGGAACAGTATGCCATTAGGGCATTGAAGTTGGGCCTTTAAGTGGATAGAGCCTCATTGATGACAAAATAAAAACTAAAAAGATGTAACTTTTATTTGTTTCATTAAGAGCATAAAACTGCCTACACTGTATAAGCTCTAGGCTTTGTCACTCCCAACTTATCTTCTTACGAAAGCCTAATAAGGCGTTGGAGGAGAATTTAACTCAACTGCATCAAATTTGTTATAAAGATAAAGAAGTGAAAATTTTTAACTGGAGTAGGAAGAAGACTCGCTCTAAGATTAGATAGCGTATTTCTACACCTCCTGTAATTTTTGAGAATGATATATCTATCTCTGATAATGAATCCAAAATATGAATTCTTTGTATATATGATGAAGCTGTCAAACTTGATAATTCAGAAAAATCTTGGTCTTTCACATCCAGAGGAAGGTATCGTAATTAAAATACTTATGGAAATGAAAAAAGAAAAGCATGTTGATGAGGATAGTAGTTCAGGGTCTTTTTGGTTAGTGTTTAATTGGAATAATCTTGGTTACTTTTTACTCATAAATTATTTTGATGGGTTATTCGATGTTTCTAATATCTTTGCTTGTAATTGGTGGGAGTAGTTGATGACTTGTTGCTTGTTGGAAGCATCATGATTTAACTTTCCTTTTGTTGGAGGCCTGGTGGTGCTTTGGTCCAGGGTGCAATTATTTTTTGAGAAGTTCAAACCCCTTAGCAATGTAGGTTTTGGGGTCAGTTTGATTGATTATTGGCATTCAGGGTTTTGTGAATGTTTGGACTCGTGTTATTATCACTGTTCTTGGGTTTCTTGTCTTCTGTTGATAGAACTCTTTTGTCTTACGGCCTTTGTGACCTTAAGAGTTGGCATGCATGTAAATATGATCAAGAGAACAATTCCAATCCATTAAAAGAAGATGTTTACAATCATGGATGACCTGGTAGAGTGAATAATTATCACGAAAAGGTTGTAAAATTTTTTTGAACAAACCAATAATGAATTAGACTCCACAAGAATATTCCTGCAACTATGCTCCCAAGTAAGTTTTAATCCATTATAGATAGCATAGATTTCAATTAATCAAACACCAAAAGTTTCTTAATAAAACCAAAAATACAATAGCCATCACTGTCCCAACACATATCTTTAGTACCTAAATTACCTGGATTAGACTTAGAAATGCACATCCACATTTAGCTTAACAAAGTTTTTTTGGAGAACATTGAAGCAATATGGAGATGCTGCCGATTTGGAGAAGCACTACTAACATCAACCATGTACTTCAAATAATCTATAACACAAACCATGATGGAATTGAAAGCATTAACAGGCCATGCATAATTAACCTGCATCAAAAACTAATTTGTTGCGCAATTAAAGAGGAAACTTTTTATGTGCAAGATAATTATAAAATGAATTGTTGAGTTTTTTGTTAGACAATATTTTATTGCGATTGTCCATGTATAAGTGGATAAAGTAGGTAAAGAATTCGTATTAATTACTATTTCACGAGCGATAACGTTTATAAAGCTATAGAATCCAACAAGCATGAACAAAAAAGAAGTTTCTTGTTTGATAAAACTTTAAAATTTTAGCCAACTATGAATGTAATGACCAAAGAAAAAAAAAAGCACACACACACACAAGGAATAGACGAAAATGCCAGAGGGAAGGCAATATTAAAAGTTTTGGAATCTGTTGGTTTCCGGTTAAAAAACATTTTAAAAAATTGGAAGCATGCTTGAATTGAAAGTGGATTTTTCGTAAAGGATTTGTTGGGATAAGCATAATATCCTAAGCTTTTACTTGTTGTTTTAAAAGACAACTAATTAAAGAAGATGTAAGGCTAAAATGAAGTGAATTTTTATTTTAGAAAAAAAATTTCTAAGAGCAAAATTCCAAACAATCCCTACTAATTTTGATTTTTGACGTTTTCAAACACAAAATATGACAAAATTTAGGGATACTTATATGCGCTACCAACTGCAAGTGCCTATACCATATATAAAAAACTTTTTGATTTAGTTAGTATTACAAGTAAAATGACATCCATTTAGTTAGAAAAATATATAAAAATCAAATAAAATTAATGATATTTGGTATGTTCCCTTAACAAAAGTAACTACCCACTTAAGAAAAAAAAAAAAGCTACTCGCCTTTTTGCTTCAGAGAAACTTACCTAACTTTTTTCCTTATATTTTTCTTCTAAATCACAATTTGCTCATCTTGCTAGTGAGCCTTTCTCAACTTGGCCTTTGAACAAAATTTTTCGTGCTAAGTCCTGGCTTGTGAAGGTTTTTTTTATTAAATAAATATTTATTATTTAATTTTAATTTAAATATATATTTAAATTTATCAAATATTACTGTAAAAAATTTTAAATATTTTAATAATAAATTTAAATTAAATGAGTATTAATGGATTTTGATGTACAAGCTGAATCTAAATTTTGGACAAGCTTTTAAAAATTTCAATTGAATATAGTTTGATCAGCTCCGTGTGGATAACTTTATATAAATACCAAGCGCAAATATTGAGAATTATTTCTATTAGTGAAAGATATAATATCAAATTCTATCAGTAAAGTTTGAAAATAAAAAAATTTGCTTAAAAAAAAAAAACAATTTACATAAGACAATAATACCTTGCCAGTTTGATATAGACGTCGTTGTTTTATTGGGTAAAAAGGAGCAAGAAAAAGAAAATATTTTTGTTTACAAAAAATTTCAATATCATTAATAAATGATTAATTTAATTAATTAAATTTATTTTTTTGATAAAAAATTTTAAATTTAAATTTTATCTATAATTATTTATTAAAATTATTTTAAATATATAATTTATAATTATTTATCTTAAATTATCAAATACATATATTTTATTTTAATTTAAAATATTTAATAATTTATTTACTCGTAAATTTTTTTTAAAAAAAGTTTTCAAGATTAAATATGCCAGGTAAGCACAGGTGGGCAGCTTTGTTTGCGCTGTACAATCATGGAAGGACAGCTGTGTTTTGTTTGCGGTGTTTGACTGCTACAGTGTTACAAGGAAGGATCGATGCGTAAATTAGATTAGCTGCCCCTTCCAATCAAAAAGAGAAATAAAAAATAAAATCATACCCACCAAGATTAATTAAAATTAATATTTTTATTTAAAAATATATATATTTATATAAAATTATATGAATATACAAAATAAAAATAAATTTATTAAAAAATAAATTAAACTTTTATATTTTTTAAAATTATAAATATAAAAATTATTTTTACTCGTTAAATATTCTTGAAGATAAAATTAATATTTTATACATCTCATGCCTTTCAATGAAAATCCCTACCCACGAAAAGGAAGGCAGTCAGCATCTCATAAAAACTCCCCCAGCAGATTCTTCGTTGATCCCCAAAATATCTTTCTTTTCAATCCAATTTTAATCCTTTTTAGGCGCCCCCAGATATTTTCACCTTGCTTGCCCTACATGTACTCGCTCGCCTACTCTCAACCTCTTACTCGCCTCTCTATCCCACACTAAATATGCCATCCACATTCTTTGTTTTTTTTTTTTATATATATATATTTAACCAAAATTTTTAATTCTCGAACTCAAGTTTGTCAAATGTGAGTAAATTAAAAAAATCAATGTTAAAAATTTTTAAAAACTCATCTTTTTTAAATATATTTTTTTATTTTAACTCAAGCTAATATTATTGAAACATGACAAGATATCATAAAAATATTTTTATCATTGGTATATGAAATTAATCATGCCTTTTCTTTCTTGAAATTTCTTATAAGCAATGATGAATAGAAACGTGGAAAGTGTTTGGTTGGAAAGCTTTAGAAACAACTACTTGTTGAATTTAATAAGTACTTTAATTTCCTTTTTTTGGGTGTTTAAATTTATACATTCTGCTAATAAATATCTTTAAAGCATTCTTTAAAATTAATTAAAATTTATCAAATCAATTATCAATCATTATATTTAATATAAAAATATTAAATACAATGATTAATACTTAAAAAATTATTTATGTGTCATATGTTATTATTTGAATCTAATTATTTAATGTAATTATTACATTAATTATTAAATTTATAATTTAAAAATCACCTTAAAAATTTTTTTAAATTAAAATATTATATTACATATTTTATTATAATTTAAAAATATTCATAATATTAATCTTATATAATAATTTAATTATTTTAAGATATACACTAATGAAATCCTTAATTGGATCCTTAATCGAATGATGTAAAAACAAGAAGATATTTTGGTGAAAAAATATATAATTATTTAAAAATATTTATGAACACAGAAAAGAAATGATGCAAAGACAGCTAGAGTTACATGAGCACATGATTTTTGGAATTTCATTGCCTTTAATTCTCCCGTTAGAAAACAAATATTGTTGGGAAACATGAAAGTATTTATCCAGATAAGTTTGAACAGGTGGCGGTAAAAAGCAGCGAGTATAGAATTTCAGTACCCTCAACGTTTTGTAATTGGAGGGTCTTACTGTTTTTGAAGTTGCAACCAACCCTGCGGTCCCAGTCTATATATAAACCCTGGGTGAAACCTCTCTTCTTTCAAAAACATTGCTACCCCTGAAACAAGAACAGAAAAACAAAATAGGCATTTATCGGAAAATAAATTAATAAATAAACCCACCCAACCAAGGCACAAACTGTTTGTTTATCGCGAATCAGAGAGACAGAAAAGTTTTTGTATTCGGCTTTGCTTTGGAGAAGGAGGCCGGTGGGCATGGACTCGCACGTGCCCAGCAACCCAAATGAGTCGTGGACGGACGAGAAGCATGTGCACTTCTTGAACTCCATGGAGGCATGGTTCGTCCGAACAATGCTTGAGAACAACGACCGCTATAATCTCCGTCTCGACCGATACCTTCCAGACAGCTCTGAGTCGACTCTCGATTGCAAACAGAATATTCATATAAGGAAAAAGCATGCCACCTCAGGTAAATCTTAACCTTATTGTAATCGGCCTTGTTTTGGTTTTGATCATGGTGCATTTTTAGCCACAGTCCTTTCCCTTTAGAGATATCGGGTTTTTGTTTTGAGCTGTATTAATCATGGCTCCATCTTCCATTTGTGCGGAATGGTGAATTTTTTTGCCTAACGCTAGTGTTTTTTCTTTAATCATTAGACCTTGTTTGCTTAATGCTTTAATGTTTTTGTTAGAGTGCCAAAACCTGGAAGATTTTTTGGGCATATTGGGAAGTGTCCACGCATAAAAAGCCGTGAAATATTGACTCGTGAATTCTTTTATTTGAGACGTTTAAAATTCGTTTTTGACCGGTCTTCCAAACACCACATAAAGAATATATAAAATGTCGAATATGCCTGGAGATATTTGTAGCAGGGTTCACTTGGTCAGAACTTTCTTTTTAACTATTCTTAATTATTCTTTGTCTGGTCCATTTGGGCTTCACCCGCAGTGGATTTTATTGGCACAAGTAGAAGCAAAATGAAGGGTAGGCCCGGTAAAAGATCAAGGAGACCACCAGCTCAGCCGCATGATTCATCACAAGATCAGGTTGGTCATTCTATCGACCCCATATTAATTGAACGCTGATCTTTTCGATCATGATCAGATGTTTTGAAAATCAAGGTGCTATGGGCCCAGTTAGCTGGCAAGTTCCAATCTGTACAACAAATTGTCTCGACTGTTTCTGATATTGATGAATTTTTAGCCTTACTTAGCAAATAAACTTCTTTTTTCTACAAGCAAAGTCCTCGTATGCAATGACAAGAGTTCTATGTGTCTTCTCAGGTGGTCCCACAGATTGAAAACGGAAGAGGAGATAAAGATGAGAAAGACCTTCCTAATGTACCAGTTCCATCCATGGCACCCGCAAAATGATAAAAAGATTATTCTTGTTTTAGGACTTATTTTTATTTAATTTCTTTTCCATTGCTTCTTTCACTTCTTCAGTGTAGTGGGTTTCTAAGTAGAATATATAAGCAGTGGCGAGGTTTGTGAGTGTATGTACTACGAAAAATGGCTGAATTATGCCTGGCTAACATTTCTAATAGTACTTGAGTTTCCAGGATTATGACAATGCCCTTTTAGTCCTGTATATCGGCTGACTGATTTATGGAAGATATTTTCACGATATTTTGATTCTTGAGCAAGATCTTTTTGCTCATTATATACAATGTTTTATGATTGTTTATATTTACTAGAATAATATATAGTTTAGTGAAAAGGTCACAGGATGGGATAAAGCAGATGGCGACAGGTACAAAAGGAGAGATTTCAATCTTGATCTCTCAGGCACGCCTTATCCTCATGATAGTGTTAGTTGCTTAATCTTTTCACAAAAAATATTAAATACCTTGCTGCTAGTTTTCGTGGTAGAGATAATAAAGCCTATCAGATAAAGTTAAAGGACAATCTTATCCTATCTGTTTCTACCAACCGATGCATGGCAATGTATTTGGCTAACAGGACATAACTGGAAATTAATGAACGTCAATGAATAATGGATGGAGATATCAATTCTTGATAGAAATTTTATGACATATTATCAACTATGATGCTGAAATTTGAGTTTAAAGTGATATTTAATAAATTTAAAATTTAATTCACGCTATTTACAATTTCTTCTTTTTATCATCGAAGTGCAGCCTCCTTGATTAAAAAAAATATTTGGTTGATTTCGATTTTGCAACTTGCCACCCAATCCCTTTGCTCAAGTATGATTTTTTTTTCTTTTCTTGGATGTAAAGAAGGTACTCCAGTTTACTAAAGAAAAAAATATTGCAAGCGAAAAGAAGAATGTCGTACGTGAAGATATTTAGTGGGAGGTGTTTGGTGTAATTTGCACTTGAAATCTCAAGCTAGCTTGCTACCATCAAATGACTTGACGTTGGAGGAAGAGAGAGGGCCACTTTCATTGCCAATTCATATTCTTTTCACTTATATATGAAGAATTTAAATGTAAAGAGAAAGCAAAAGAAACACATACACACTTGTAGGAATCTTTTATGCAAGTTTTTAGTCATATTGAGGAGATTGTCAGTTTGAGATTAATAGAATTGAAGCATTTGGAAACGAGTTATTTAAATAATTCTATATTTGATGTGTGATTTTTTATGTACTAACTAATTTATGAGAGCATTGCTCTTCATACGTAAACTCAAACCAGCAATAACAAAATTATTCATTTCAGTTCATTATATCTTTCAATGAGGCAATATTTTATTTCAGACTTAGAGTTAATCCTACTCCAAATGAAGGGAAACAACCTCCCCAAGAGAGATATTTGCATTTAGACTTTTAATTTGCACCATTTAAATTAAAGTGGAGAAAATGTAGATGAAACTATTTTATGATAAAACTTTTATCTACTTTTTTTTTGGCACAAAAATCAAACTGTGTGGACTGTCATTTCATTCAATTTCAAGTGACATTTTTCCATTATTGTGGTATAGCTGGATTGGAAATATCATTGCATTGTACAAAACCATCCAGTTGCCGTATACCATATTAAAATATCAACTGTATATATAATTTGCAATAATTTTAGCTACCAGTCAAGCTAGCCCTTCATTATTATTATCATTATTACTGTACTCAAAAGTATTACTACTACTGTGTATCCCATTAAGCTGATGTTTTTATCAAGCAATTTACAGCGACAATTTTTCTTTCTTTTAAAAAATAATAAAAAAGGTGTCATTTTCCATTCAGGAAAAGGCGGCTAAGAGTGTGTAGGCGGATTGTTATGGAGGACACTACAAAGCACATGGGAGTAGGGGGAGATGGTCCTTTTGAGTTTTGACACAGTGCGTGCAAATTATAGAAAATGCTCTTCTCCATTTATCTTCTTTTCTTGTATCTGAAGCCAAGCCAATAAGATGCTCCGTTGGCAATATAAATGCATGCTACCGTCTATGGTATAAAAATGGTCCTGATGAAACTATAATCGACTGTTCCGCTATTGTTTCATGCTTTCTTCAACCCAAATTTTGAATGCCTATTTCTATTATTTTAAGATAATTATATCATCACTTTACATTTTCATCTCCTCCCTGAAGTTGTTAGCTAGCTATATATACTGTTGCACATCGGATTTAGCATTCTGAGAAGAGATTAACCACCCCCCCCCCCCAAAAAAAAAAGTAAAAAAAAAAGAAAAGAAGAAGCTTGTGTTACTAAAAATTATCAGATTTATGGCAAGAACAAGAACTGAAGCGAATCCTGAAGCAAGGATCTTTGATCAAACTGAGCAGGCAGGGGACGAGCATTTTGAAATAGTTGTAGTTTTGAATCTTAGATTTAGCTTGTTAGTTCGTGTGGTCATTAGCTTCTAGTAGATTTGGAGTCCAAATTCTGATAAACTGCAGTATCTAAAAGTCCCCGATCAGCTTAAATCTGGATTAAATCAAACAAACTCACTTAGGTTGACGAAACTGAGAACCGATACATAACAAGAAGTTTTTTAGAGAGTGGTACGGTGTTGCAATTCTCAACCTCAAGATGGGAATAGTGTCCTGTGTCCTGCTTTTAGTGTTTCTGTGAGAATTATCAGCAGGAAATGAATAATATTGTATCTGCATCTGCAAAAATTTTGTAGTGCACATGTTATGAGCAAAATCCAAAGAGTACTTGAAAGGAGTTGTTGAATCCTACAATCTAAATTTCAATTTTTTGAGTAAGAAAAGAGAAATCAAATGCATATAGTGGTTTTAAAAACTCAAAATCTTCCAGAAACATGAGTTTATTCGTATGTTTGAGAGAATCGATATATTTGACGAAACAACGAGAACAACATTGATTCACAAAATTTTTTAAAAAATTGATACTACTATATAAGCAAAAATTTTATTCGTACACTTCCTAAAAATAATTTTTATAAAAGAAGTTGAAATTTAAGCAAATGAAAACTAGTTGCAGATAGGAAGATTTAAATTTCAAACTATTTTAATATGTCATAGGAAAGACAAAGATTTTTAATGTTACTGTTGAGAACTATCATAGGCTTGGCATTTCTACAATGAGGACATGACCCACATATCAGTTGGGCTCCATTTGAAGTGAAGGCCGACAAACAAGGAAATAGCAAACGACCCAAGTCCAAACTTCCCTAAAATAAACATATTCCTTACCATGTTTTTAAAACTGAAGACTGAACCATCGGGATCTCTCAATCATCTCTCTCTGTCTCTCAACGCCCCAAATTCCTTGGAGCAAAAAACAATGTTACCCTTGTTTCAATTTTACAAGAATCTTATACTCCAAACATTGCTCTCTTTATCACTCACTCTAATCCTCACATTCCTTAAAATCCCGATTTTCTTTCTTCAAGGTCTTCAGACTTACATCCACCCTGAAAACGTTGGCAACTCCAACAACGCTTCCTCTGGTGTTAGAGCCGCTATTCGTAGACCTTCCAGCGCAGATTCAGGTCCTGGACTTGATGGTTACCAATCTTTGTCATCAAGGACCGATGTGGAGCTCAAAAAGAGGAACAAATCTAAAGACAAGTTCGAGTTCGATGAAAACAATGCCCAGATCTTCAGGCTGAAACTCGACGAGGGTCATCTTCAAACAAGGCTTTTTTTCAATGAGTATCACAATTCTTTTGTTTTCTCCGTTGTGGGTATTTCCTGTTTGCTGCTTTACAAGTATTTAGGTCAGTCTGAGGGTTCTGGGGTTTTCGCAAATGGGAATTTAATTCCGGTTATTTTTGGATTTATTGGTTTAACCAAAGTGTTTTTAGCACTTGCAAAGATATCTTTTGAGAAATCTGCTTCTAAGAGGTCGGAGAAGCGATTTAGTGCAATTTTTGGCGTTGTGGGGTTTCTTATAGGGATTATGATTTGTTCTGGAATTGGACCGTCGGTTTTCGATTTCCATTTCGATTCAGTTGAAGGATCTTGGAGGATTTTTCTTGCTATTTTGATGGGATTCCTTGCTGGTTTTTTGTATATGCCTGCTGGGAAGAATGCACGTTCCTTTTGGCTAGGGACTGATCAGCTTAGATGTAATTTGTCCATAATTTCTTGTGGATTGTTTGCTAGAATGGTTTTGTATGCCAGTTATTTGTTAACTGTGTTCACAGCTTTACTTTGGATTAGTCCATTAACTGAAATTCTTGTTAACAAGAATAGTTATGATGGTAGAGGAGACGCTGAGAAGTTGGTTGGAAATGTGGGTTTTTCAAAATTAGACTTTACCAGGCTTAGGGTTTTGTGCTTATTGCTGTCAGGAGTCCTACAAATTGTGGCTTTACGTTTAAACCTGCAGATGTTTTTGAATGAAGCAGTTTTGTCTTGGTATCAAAGATTACATGCCAGCAAGGTCCCAGATTTGGATTTTAGTCGTGCTAAGGTTTTTTTGCACAATCACTACTTATGCCTTACAGTTTTGCAATTCTTTGCACCTCCAGTATTGGTGCTTCTCTTTCTTGGCTTATCTCAGATTGACAGTAATTCATTTGACAAATACAACTTGGTTTGTGGTTTACTGCCTTGTTCTGGTTTTGTTAAAGAAGTGGCTTTGTTTATGGCTTGGTGGATCATATTTGTGTGGGCAGTTATTACTTCAGCTAGTCTGCTGTTTTATCGTCGTGGTATTTTGTATGTTTTCTGATAATTCAGCTTTTTTGTACTGGCAATCAGTTTTTGACTTGAAATTTTTGCCTAATTTTGGATAGAGATTGTTTTGCTTGTAACAGATTATTACAGATGTTTGTCGATACATTGTAATGGAATACATGGCCCATGGAAAGTTCTTCCCAGATGTTTCATTTCAGTTTATTTCATTTATGGGTTCTATAGTCATGCCTGTCTAAAGATTGAGTTGGAACTTTGCAGAAGTGTGCAAGTGTAGAATAATGCGAACCATAGTTGAATTTTTTTAGTTTCATATCTATTACTCATAAGAGAGGCATGAACTACTATCAAGACACGTACCTGGACCCTTCAATCTGTTATTTTCAGAACAACTGCTGCTACCAGGTGATATATTTTTGTTATCATTGATCCATATAAATTATTTTCGTTTTAAGCAATATAATTTCTTAGGGTTATTCTCATTAATATAGCCTCTATACTATTTTGTGGAGTTTAACAACCTCTTATTTCTTTATGATATCTTGACCTGCGTTTTACTCTGATAAAGTATAGAATATTTCCCATTTCATGCTACAGAACTCTCTACCTATCATTAAGCTGTCATGTTAGGTACCACAAACTGTAATTGATTTAGTTTTTTACTATCATTTAAGTACTCTGGTTTTGGATGAAATGTTTGATTATATTGGAATACTAAAGTGTATGTGCCTATATTATGTTTCTTTGACTTTTGAGTACCTGTTACATGTTTTGAATTTATGCTCTGTTAGTTGCAGAAAACAACTTCAAATTCAATTTTCTTCTTTTAATTGAGTGGCAGTGGTTGCTGTAGTTGTGCATATTTTCCTTATTAACTCTAATTTATAAGCAGTTGCAATTGTGATGGTATTGTTGATTAATAGACTTGGTGCATCAGCTTCATACTTCTGATTGAAGGATGATTTTTATTATTGTCAACATGTATGCAGCTTGTCTTTGTACAAGTGGATGTAACTGTAATTTCTTGTCGTGACCGGTGTTGAAAATTTTAAATGCCAATGATTAGGTAGCTAGACGTATGATGGATGAACCTTAGAGGACAGTTGTGATGTTGCTTGGATGCTTAAATAATGCTTAAATTTTAAGAACTTTGAACACAATGTTTAATCATAATCAGAGATTTAAATTTGCGGTTGCGTTTTTGGTCACATTACATTTATCGCAATTATGGGCATAACGAAGGCTATTGCGGTTATTACAATTATTGCAATCGTGATTTTTTTTTATTTTTGCATTACATATTATAAAATATTGTAATTATAATTATTATTATAAAAACTCTTATTTTATTATTTTTAAAATAGTTTATGATATCACATATCTTTTATTTACTTGATTTTTAAATGTAATAATCTATTAAATATTTATTATTTTATGATTTTGAAATGCAATATTCTATCAAGTATTTTAATTTTTTACACATTAATTAATTTAAAATTGTTATCATAAATTACTTTTAAATTATTATACAAGGGATCAAACTTTCAATTTTTAGTTAAATACACAATAATAATAATAATAATAATAATAATAATAATAATAATAATAAATCTAATACTAAAAAATTAAAAATACAAATATCAAAACAAAATATCATTAATAAATTCAAATATAAAATATAAAATAATAAATAATAAATCAATATATAATCATTTAACTTTAATTAATTTTTATTTAAGTTATACAAAAAATTTATTACCTCAATTTTTATTTAATTTCTCCAAAATTTCTCTATCTATCTCATATTAATTCTTAAGTTTATTTAATTTTAAACTTTCCTACCATAAAATTTAACCTTCAAAATTTCCTATAAACAAAATTTTCCCTAAAAAATAAAAATTCACATGAACAAAACCCATGGTCTCTGCACCAGAACTAAAGTTTTGGTTTTATGCCCCTCTACTCACTCTTCTCTCTCAGCATCTCTTCCTTTTTATTTTCTTCAGTCTCATTCTCACACTCTCATTCATCTCAATCTCTTACTTCTCATTATTTCTCAATGTACAGCACTCTCTCAACTGTCAAACTCAACCCAAAAATAGCGGCCACTACACCGCAACTGCACCGCTATTTAAATCATAATATTTAAGAACTGGAGCTCTGTTGATCTTTATCGCTAGTTAATGTAACAGAAATATTTGTTTTTCATCTCAAGTTGATAGGTGGATAATGCAACACAATTGGACCAGTTTATAGAAGGATTCTAGGCTTCTTACAAATGAGCCTGTTAGTGATTACTATGGATGTTCTGTCAGAGACGTAACTTGATGGTTTCTCTTTTCTGAGAATTTTGTTGTTATTCTGCTCTTCCATTTTTAGAAATCTAGGAGTTATTCATTTAGAATAACAATTGATATCTGTAAATCCATTTGATATTGTTATCAAAAATGGTTTACTAGTGTCTGTCAGTATGTTCTTTGCAGCCGGTTGCTTGGTAAGCATTGGAAAGGTTATCTGCAACTGCAATTGAAAGCCCTTTTGTGGACAACCAACTAAAACTAATTTCAACCAATGCTAATGCATTTTGCAGGTTCAACCATCCCGATGCCAAATAAAATATGTTCCATTCAAATTTTGTCAACCGTATTCCTAAGAAGGCTTGATTTATGATTCTTAATTCTGGATCCAATGGTGTGGGTGGCATCAAATCTTTCCTAAAGATTTGGTGGCATCACAAATTTGTTATCAGTCCTCTGGTTTTTTTCTTTTCTTCTAAGTTATAAATTTTGTTCTGATTCATAACTTGCGGGAGGTGGTTTTTATTGGCATGGTCCATTGTAATATGAGATAAATGCCGGCTAGCTTATCCCATTGTAGATAATGGGTAGATATAATTGACCACTATTATTATTTTTTTTTTACTAGAAGAAAATGACTTCTCAGGCCTCAGTTCTCGCAGCCTGATAAAAAAAGCCGTTTTCCGCTGGATGGATAAATGCCAATTTTCTCTTTCTTTTTTTTTTTTTTATTCTTCTGACACGATAATCCCATGCAATATTTGGCATCCTTTTGAGAGCCAAATTGATTCACGGTCGTGGAACCTCCTATCAGCAACGGGGCAAATTTGGATCCAATAGAGGGGACCAAAAGAGATGGCTTAGATATGAAAATTCTTTATTCTTGAAATTTAGGAAACATTCTGCAAAATTCATAACAAAATCCAAAAAGCACGGGAAACAATAACCATGTGAGGCTACTTTAATCCAAACCAATAATGCTTGTCACAGGAAATTAGCCTGGTGAAGACTTAGTCCAAGCTTTTAACAAGGAATTGGGTGAAGAATTGTTAACATTGCAGCTTGTACGTTCTTGACGAACAGGACTGTCCTCTAATATGATTTTCTTCACACATTTGATAATAAAATAAACTTAGTAGTATTCCCCGGAGATGAATATATAACAATAATAATAATAATAATAATGAATTTTCGACAGTTAACAACCCATTAGGTTCGACATATTGGAAATTTTATTTAATCCTTGTAGCCCAACAAAAGTTGTTTAATTATCGGTGGCTATTTAGGTAGGCCATAAAAACGCATTTAAGTTGTTTAAACATGAAAGATTAATGAGTTTTTAATAATCATTGATTGATGTGGATACTCCTTCCCTATAAAATGCATCTTTCTATGCGTGGAACATCTTAATCCAACTCCTTAATATAAGCATAAATAAAGCTTAAGATTATAGCTTCCCTCTTACCTACGGCTATGGCTTAGGAAAGATAGTTACAAGAAATTGAATGTTAAACTTTGGATACCAATTTTTCAAGTATTTTCTATAAATGATTGAGATATTAGTTTGTTGATAGTCACATTTATGCTTTAAAATGGACAATTCAAATTCAAACCTGCCTGTTTTCTTCCATAAGAAAAGTCATATATGTATATATATAATCTTTTTATTTTAAGTGAATAATCAAACTAGAAGGAGAAGAAGTCTTGAAGTTGAAACATTAACCATCGTTTGAAAAATAATAATTTGAATAGCATGGCATCTGTCCAGCAGACTTACAAACGAGGAATCTACTTAAAATTACCTTCACACTTTCAGAATATATATATATATATATATATATATATATATTATAGAGAGAGAGAGAGAGAGAGAGAAATTTTGTAGCTCTTAAATCTCAATATTTTATGCACATAAAATAGTAATGTTGGTGAGCTGACCTGAAGGTGTTCTTGTAAATACAAAAGGAAATGATGACTAGAAACAAAGACATGAGGTGTTTCTCGCATTTGCACTTCGACAAATAAATTAATAAAAATTAGATAAAAAAAGAAGTGAAAAAGTAAGAAGGAAAAAATAATATAGATTAAATAAATTTGGTTTCATGATGCCTAAATTTCATATTTATGGATAAGCAGAAGAGGACAATTAAGACAGGGCTGAGTTGAGGTGCCACTAACTCTATCAGATCGACCTAACATGTCAGGTCGACATAAATGATCAAGATACCCTTATTTGTTTACTAAAGGCTTTGAGAGGGGAAAAGATTACTATGCCCTTTTGACCATTATATGCCCTTAACACTCGTCCTCCTATCAAACAATTTGAGTATCAGATCGTCAAATTTATTACCGACATCTCCAGTGTGGGGTAGGTTGATTGCATGGTTCGTTGAAAGCCAATGTTGCAGAGGGAGGTCGATTTTGAATGATGACTACTTTTGACCCACAGTCCTACCTAATGGTTATCTGATCTCATGTGTGTGCTCAGAATTGAGTGCATAATAGATTTTAAAGTTGTCGAGGTGATAATTATATGGGGTGATTCGAAGTTATTGCTGAAGTTCATCTAACCATGGTGTGACTTGTATTTTCTTTCAAAAATTTGGACTTGAATCTCTATTTTAAACCTTTGAGATGGATCGGGCTCTTGGTTTACACTTCAAGTTATTCGATTTAGCCAGTTTGATCTAGAGTTCATCCGATTAGGTTGGTCTGACAGCATTAAATGAGAAAAAAAGTGGTTTGAGTAGGAAAATATAAAGCAAAAAGATAAAAAGATGTCTACCCATCTGTTTTCTTACACATGGCAAAGATTATGTCATTCATTTGGTCTGCATAGGGCTTTAGCCTTCCACTTATTGCTTTTTTTGCTTTCAATTCGACCTAAAATTTATCTCAACAATTTTCTCGCATTCCAAGTTTTATCTGCACCTATTTTGATATATATTTTTAACCATATCTTTTAGTATGAGTTCTGAAAGAGCTGAGAGTTATAGGGTAGAGCCAAAGGGATGTCAACAACAGTAGGATGATGATCTGATACCCTTGTTAATGGGGGCCATAACTACAAAAAGATAGCTTATTAGTTCAACCAGTGTTTTAGGAAGGGCAGTGGTATAATAAAGGGAATTCTTGGGCAAAAGGCGAATAAGTTTTGAGTACTAAAGAGCTATATGCTCAAATCGATTTTGAATTTCAAAATCTATCTATTTTTCTTATCTCTCAGGTTGGTCCATCTTTCATGGCCGACCTTCTTTCCTCTTCATTTATTCTCCCTTCTAGGGTTCAATCTTTTCCACCTCCTATCACTTCTACTTTAATTCTTCAATCAGTTTTTCTTAATATTTCATCCTTTCTTGAGGGGTCTTCACCTCATCCTTTTTTATCCGAGATCGAGATGTTTTTATCCACTGTTTTTTCTCGAGATCCATCTTTCATGCAAGAGTCAAGTTTTTTTTACAATGGAGTTTCGATAAGGAAGAGAGCACATCGATTGGAGAAAGTGACGATGAGAGGAAGAGTTTTACAAAGAATGATGAACTCTCCGAGGTTCCTGTATATGCTCCTTATGACCTTGAAGTGATCCCCAAGAACATGATAAACAAGCTAAAAGGTAAAACAAATCTCAAAGACTATCCCAACATGTGCTCGACTCATCATGTTCAAGCTTTATGTCTCACTTTCCTTTTTTCCAAGGAGGGGTATAGTATAATAATGTCAAACTTTTCAGACTGGGTCATTGATAGGCTAGGGCTACATCGGCTCTACATATATTGGGATTCGTTCATGGTCAGTCTGAGGTTTTCACTCCATCATTTAATTTTTAATTATTACAATTTAGCTATCACTCAGCTCACCCCAAATTTTATTCGATACATAGTTTTTTTTATTATTCTTAGTCAACATTTAAATATTCTTTCTTCTCTTCTTCTATTCTGAGAGTTCTTCTTTCTTAAAAAATATCCTAGTGATAGTAAATAGTTTTATATCACAGCTCGACCAAATAAAAAAATTCTCGTTAATTGTCCAAACTCAATAAAGAATTAGAAGCTGTTTTTCATATGCCTTGAGAAACAAAAGGCCAATAAAAATGATGAGCTCAAAGTTGAGGCTTGAAAAATAATAAGTACACCCAGTTCTTTTATGGACACACCGATGACCCTCTCTATCCTTGATTTATCAGATTGGGATAAAATTTTAGATTTTACACATAAGGAGAGTTCATTATTAACGTTTATAGATTGACCTCCTTTGAAGTAATAAACAAAACAAAGTATTGGGATAAGTTTGAGGTAACCTCGTCGAGTTTTGCTTTGAGTTGAATTTTTATCTAACTGTTAGTTCAGTTTTGCAAATATGACTAAAGCTGAGGAAGATTTCAATGTTACCCTATATCAACACCCCCTTAGGCTTAAGAGTGGAAGACTTTAACATTGCCCTATATCACACTTTTATAATATATATATATATATATATTGTAGATACCCTAATCGGTCCGAGTCGAAGCCCATTTGGGCCTAGTTCAATATGGTCTGGGCCTAATCCCAAATTAATGAAGCTTGACTCAATAGGATCCAGTTAGTAGGCCCAATTATTTTTTTATTTTTATTTTATTTTTTAGCTTTTATCTATCTTTTTTTATTGGATTTATCATTAGTTTTTAACAAATTTAATAAAAAAATAAAAATAAAAATAAAAATAAAAAATTTTTGGTCGATGGTTGTAGAGTTCCTGTAAGTTTTAATTTGAAGAGGGATAAATCTTGAAGTTTTTGATAATATGAAAATTCAGTCAAAAGGAGACTTCTATCTGATCATAAACTCTTTTAATCTAGTCCTATAAATCACTAATCACATAGAATGGAGAGTGGGAGAAAATGAAAAACAAAAAAAAGAGCAAAAAATCAAAAGTAGAAAAGAGAACAGATAAATTAGAAACATAGCAAGCAGAGAGAAGAAAAAATTTGAAGTTTTGTTAAAGAGAAAAAAAAAATTTTTGAAAAATTTTCAAATTTCGGTAAATTTTTTTGGCGTCAGTGGAATTTTTCGACGAGTTTTCTAGCATCGGTTGAACTTTTCAGTAGATTTTCAATTTTCAGCAGCTACTTTTCAAAAATCGACGAGCTTTCTGATGAACTTTCGGTGAATAACCCAGATTTCGGTAAGAATTTTTAGAATCCGCTTAAATTTAACCAATGTTCTTGGACAAATAGAGAGAGAGAGAAAATGAGAAGTAAATAGGGAGCAGAAGAATTCTGGCGAAATAGGCTTAAATTCAGGCTTTTATAGCATCTTCAAAATGACGTCGTTTTGGCATTTAAAAGAGTTTGGGATCTGTACGTTTCCACCTGGGGCAACCCGACTCGTAGCGTGACCCGAACCAGCAACCTGCATCCCTGCCTGGGCTCCAGTCGAGTTGAGTCGCAAATCGAGCTATCAAGCCGCATCTCTAAGCCGATCTTTGTGCCTCATGTCGAGCCGAGCCATGCCAAAAGTTTTTTTTTTTCTTTTCCATTTAGTTTTATTATTTATTTATTGATTTTTTCCTTTATTTATTTAATGACTAAATTTAAATAAGTTATTTATTTAATTAAACATATTTTAATTTTCAATAATCTCTTTAAAATGAAAATTTAAAAAAATATTTTTTAAGGAAAGTTGAATGTATCATTTTCCTTTGAACATAAAAATAAAAAAAATATTTTTAAGGAAAAGTTGAAAGTATCAATTTTTCTTGAAAATAAAAATTTTCAAAATAAACATTTCTTGAGAAAAAGTTGGAAGTACTAATTTTTCTTAAAAATAAAATTTGAAGAAAAATATTTTTAAGGAAGAGTTGAAAGTATCAATTTTTCTTGAAAATAAAATTTTTTAAAAATATTTTTTGAAAAAAAGTTAAAAGTATCAATTTTCTTTATATAAAAGCACGAGTTTTTTTTTTTATAAAACAAAAAAACAGATCTATATCAATCATCATTTCTTACTCATTTTGTCTTTTAAAAAAAAATTTTAATGTTAAATAATTAGACGATGGAGTATCTACAAGTAAAACAATAATTTTCTTGTATACTTTTGAGGTGAGAGAATTTTTTTAATTTTCTGTCAAAAGTATTGGAATCAATTAAGGATAATTTTCAATAATTAAATACTTGGTAAAATTTTTAAGGTTTAATAGATAACACGAAATTGAGTTGATACTATCTTTCGATGGACGTAGTGTGAGTGCTGTAACCTTCCTCACTCGTAACCAAACTCTCGAACTCTATTATGATTAATAGACCTGAACCTATTCTTTTAGGGACCCTTAGTCAAACTTAGGTGTTCCTTGAAAGGATAGATTCCTTAGGTGATCAATCACACTTAAATAAAAAAGATTAGTGACGACTCTTCAAATCAATGTCAGCTATAGATCTTCGGATCTATATATTATGACATATATATGTATATAAAATTTTGTAGCTCTCATATCTCAATATTTTATGCACATAAAATAATAGTAAAAACAATAATTATTAACATAGATTCATTTCAAGAATCTTTCTAATTATTAAAATAAAATAAAAAAACCATGCATTTTATTTTATCTTTTTGTAATTAAGAAGTAAATTAGGAAGCTATTAGTATTGGAGGGATGGAAGTTGGGGGGTTGTTAGAGTGAAAATAACAAAGGAGGGTGGAGGATATACATTTGATTTTTGTTACGTTAGAGCTATCGTAGCGGCAGCTTTGTTTCGATACGAGCAAATTAACAAGACAACTACCAACAAGGTTTTATTAGTTGGGAATTGTTTGCTAGTTACTAAAAACACTTTTAATGATGACAGCTTTTCAATCCCAACTAATCTGTCTCTTGGAATCCTAGAGCTACAAGTTAATATCTGCTTACAAGTTTAGGAATCCACCGGAAATTCCAAAATCTGATAAACCCACACACTCAATTAGGGGATAAAAACAAAAGGTTGGTGTTGATATTAGTTTGCTAACGAACACATGACCTGATTAACAGTGCTTGATCTGAATAAAAGTGTGGTGATTTTGTTTGTGGGAAATTGAAAGGAAAAAAGATTTCGAAAGAGTGAAAGACGTTCTGTTTGAGAGTGGTTAAATCGAAGTTCTTTGTGAGTCAATTATGTGGAGTTGATTTGGTTATGCATGGGTATTGATGGTGTTGCATGAATCAGGCAAAGTTAAGATTGATTCGATTCGATTCTGTGTAGTTAGAATTTGTAAGCATGCGACATAAGAGTTTGAAAAAATACAAAGGCAAAATATTTCGTGTGTTTTAAGTCCTCAAGAACGTGAAATTTAGGTTTGTTTCAGGCTTGAAATTAGTATGTTATTTTATTTTTGTTGCTTTTACTATTTATAATCTTTATATTTAATAATAAATTATTATTTTTTCATTGGGATCGAATTATTTTAAATATTGTGTAACATTTAGTTTGTGTTGCTCTCATATAAAAAATACTTTTCTAGTTGAAATTACAACAATTGACCTTATCCAATAAGGAAAAAAGAGATTAAAGATAGTAAATAAGAAAAATGAATGAATTTATTTTTTCCTTTTGAATCCAATACTTTTAAAATATAGAAAATCACTCATTTAATTAAAATTAATAATTTTATTTATAATTTATCTTTAATATTTTTTTTCATCTTCATATCAAATACAAAGAAATAAGAAAAAAAAAACTTTTTTTCTCATTTTTTTACCTTCATTTCTCTTCCTTCTTATCAAATATAATAATATAAAATTAAGTCATTTTCTTACTTCTTATCAAATATAGTAGTATAACCTAAAGTCATACAACAATATTGAAAAACCAATTTAGCTTGAAAATTCAATGTTCAAAATGAGATATTATACATGAAAGAGTTAAAAGTCTAAATTGAAGTTTTTTTTTAGGGATTTTTGGTTTTTTGAATAAAGCATAAATGCACTTACAACGTCAAAATGCTGGCATAAAATCCAAATCAAAAGTTGAGTATTTAATTATTGCAAGATTAAATAAATAAAATATTCTTAATTATTCTAATAATTTAACATATAAAATAAAAAGAATTGGGCTTCAAATCATTGATATTTTTATGAATATTATTTAAATAGATTTGTTAGTTCGTATATTTATATAATATAAAATATTAAAAGTTTATGTATTTATATTATATTTTATATAAAAATTATGTGTTATAATTTATGTTAATATAAAAAATATTTTTTTTTAATTTTTATCAATTCTATGCATTTTTTAAAGTTTAATTCATGTTATTCTTATATTTTTTTATATAATATTTATGTCATATCAATATATTATATTTTAAACTGTAAAATTTATTTTAAATATTGCAAAATTCTTGCTAGCCATAGATTTATATTAATTCAGCTAAACCTTACCAAAATTTGACAAATTTCATGCCTAAAAATTTCAATGAATTTCATAAAAGAAAAAAATCCACTTGAGCTGGAAACATTATAACATGATGCTTTAAGAGGATGCAGAGGAAGGGGGAAAATTAGAAAGAAAACGAATGAATGACAACAAAAGAAAAAGAAAAAACAAAAAAAAAAGTCAAGACACTAGCAAAAAAATTCAAAGATAAAAACAAAGAAAAAGAACTGGCAGCCACTCATGGACTGACACGTATAAAGAGCAGCATCGAACAGGAAGTTTCTGGACGAGACGTAACGTAGCTTCTCGTTCTTTCCTCTATCCTTCTTCTTATTTTCTAATGTTTCACTTGGCCTACGTTTTTCTCGCTTTCCTCTGCCATCTTCTATTTTCTCATTCTCCCTTATCTGTTTCCTCAACCCATAAAAACTGAACCTTCTAGAATTAACAATCAGATCCAAAGAAAACGAACGAACAAACCAGCAAAGTTTTCGTTATTGATTTTCAAAGCCTTCCACCTTCGTCGAGGAAAAGTTTTTGTTTCGTTGATGGCTCAGCCGCCAGTGGAGCAAAACGGAGAGGCGACAACGGGTGCGTCAGAATCGCAGAGGTCTGTTCCCACACCGTTTTTGACTAAAACTTATCAATTGGTAGATGATCACAGAATTGACGACGTGATTTCATGGAATGACGACGGATCTACTTTCATCGTCTGGAACACCACGGTTTTCGCTCGTGATTTGCTTCCTAAATATTTCAAACATAACAACTTCTCTAGTTTCGTTCGTCAACTCAATACTTATGTAAGCCAAAACAAGAGAATCTCTCAAGTTTCTAAGTTCTAAGCATCCAAATTTTCTTTATTTTTGTTGATTTTTTGTTAATTATTTTAGGGATTCAGAAAAGTGGTACCTGATCGATGGGAATTCTCTAACGATTTTTTCCTACGCGGTGAAAAGAGGCTTTTATGCGAAATCCAGCGTCGGAAGATCTCGTCGCCAACTGCGGCGACTATTACTGTGGCACCGGTGACAGCGACGGCTATTCCATTAGCTGCACCTATTATAACGACGTCGAATTCTGGAGACGAGCAATCTCCGGTCATTTCATCTACCTCATCGCCTTCCAGACAGGGCCAAACGGGAACCGTTACGGCCGAGCTCATGGAAGAAAACGAGAAATTGAGGAAAGAGAACTTGCAGCTTAACAAACAATTAGCGGAGATGAAGAGCTTGTGGAATAATATATTCAGCTTGATGTCAAATTACGCGAGTTCTCAGTCGGAGAGCAATTTCCCGGCGACGAAACCGTTGGACTTGTTGCCAGTCAAGCGGTTATTAGGCGAAGGAGAAGATGCGGTTGAGGAAGAGATGAGTCCGAGGTTATTCGGTGTACCAATTGGAGGAGGGGTGAAGCGCCTGAGGGAAGAAGGGGAAGGTGTAGCCGTTGAGGATGGGACGCAGTTACAGCTGCAGCAGCCTGGTTGGAGTGGTAATGAGATGATCAAAGCGGAGCCGTTGGATTGCCAGAACGTGGGGCGCAACGATGATCGTGGCAATCAAGACACGCCGTGGCTTCGGCACTTGCACCGGGCGAATCAGAGGGTTTGTAACTGATTCGGTTCGGTTTTTTAGGCAGTTTTTGGTTGGCTTTGGGTGGATGATGAGGGATGGGACTGGAATGTTCCCGTGCGAAGGAAAGGCACGTGCCGAAGGGGTCACGTGCTTTGTGAAACCTTTGAGAAGGGAGGACCACATTTCAAGAATTTTCTTCGCACGTTATTTCTTTTCTTTTGTATTTTTCAAGGGGCAAAAAACAAGAAGAAAAGGAACTCTTAATATTTTATTTGTCTATATGTCTATCTATAGAATGAAAATCTAACCATTTTCTACTGCCGATGAGAATGGAATATCCACGAGAGTAAAGAAAATAATCAAAACGTGTTGGGCGGAAATTAAATGTTGCTTTTAACTTTGGGTAATTAATAAGAAAATTTAATCATGTCAAAGCCATGTGCGTTTGTGAGACTTTTTAAGTGCCGTTCGCTCCTAATTTTGTTTCGTTGTTTAAGAACAACACACAATTCGGGAAGTTGACTAGAATTTTCGTGTGGCTTCTTTGAGAAGCTGTATGATACTAATTTAATTTAAAAAAAAAAAAAGGCGATGGTCATTTGGTAAAATAGTTTGATTTTCTTTTGGTTTGTCTTGAATATTTTAAGTTATAAGAATATACCTTTTCATATATTTATTAGATTTTAAAGAAGTAAATTTACTTGGATCAATAAGAGAATTAAATATATTTAATGAAACATAAAAGTTCTTTAACTAAAAAAGAACTTTCTCTTTTGTTTTTATGGCTAGTAGAATTTTGAAATTTTACAATCAATGTAAAATATTTTTACCTATCTCATTATTTTTTATATAAATTTATTAAGTACAATGACGAACATTTTAAAATTCATGAGATAATTTTTTTTATATTATAAATATATACACATAAATATCATTATCTATGTTTCTCAACTCTCATAAATTGGGAGTATTAAAAGCATCAGGAAGTTGGAGATGAGAAATGGTAGTAGTAAAATTATAGAGTTATGCAGTAGGAGCTATGGCTACTCGTTAAACAAGAAGTCGTGCTCCATTGAGGAGAAGGATGTAGATGACGGGCGTGGGATCGGAGCCTTATCCACATTAAAAATTATTTTGCGGATTGTCATGATATACAGCTCGCATGCAGTGGATTTTTGGACTAGTTTCAAAAGCGTTAGGTAATGTTATATTTTATCAACACAAGCACATGGATTGCAACAGGGGGCGTTCATCTTCCTGCTTTGGCGTCTACAGATTTCTTTAGAAAGCCAGTATCTTATGGTTGGATATTCTTTTTCCTAGCTTTTTCATATTGACTCAGAGTGAGATTGATGGAGGGAGGGATAGCTGCAACTATTGACTGTTTGAACGAAATTGCCTAGATCTTGCCTCTGTGTTGTTCCAAGTCCAACCCTACTTAGTCTGATTTTGGATTTGTTTTCATTCACTATGGGCCATAATGTCGTGTGATGGATTCACTTTACATTAAAATTTCAGCTTACACCAACAAATAAGAAATCTGATTACCACATGCAGAATAGTAAAACCCTTCTTTCAAACTCAATCATTCAATTAAAGTGGGGACAATGATTTCCATAGCCTTCCAAAATATATCTATAAATTAAATAAAATAGTAGCCTAACATTTTACAGGAACGACTTTGGAGGCTACTCATATTCTGTTACTATTTATATGCTGCCACTATTTATATGAAACTGCGCATTATTGAAGTATTTGACTTAAAAGAAAAAAAAGAAAAAATCAAATTATTTTAAGCAAAGGAAAGCATGGAGTTCAGTTGCATGGCCTGGATTTGCAACAATGGAGAATCTGAAAGTCGACAGCATGAAATTGTGATCACAATTTTTGTGTTAATGATGTGAAGATACATAAGGGCTTGCATTGCTCTGTTATTCTTAGCATGCTTCAGAGTTCAAAATTTTATTTAGGATCTATAATGATCTAACCAGTGATCAATCCTGCTTCTCCTATTCTATATGCAAAGTCAGAGCATGAAGATTAATGCTACAGAATTCTCAAGTTTCTACTTTATCTTCTAAATTAAGGATAAATACAAATTTATTACCGATTATTTCTATAACATATAATATTATATTATAATATATATAGAAATCTGATAAAATTTGTCATGTAGACGCTTAGTGAATAATTTCTTTAAATGACATATAAGATAATAATAATAATTAAAGATGATTATCTTTTTATTTATTTAAATATAGAGATTTTTTTAAATATATATAATGATTTTTATATATTTTTAAATATATTGTTACCAACAAATCTGTAAGTAATAATTAAATATTGTTTTCAACAAAATTTAATTTAAATATATTATCTTTTTAAATTTTAAATGAATTTTTTAATAATCTAGATAATATCTTTTTAAATTTAAAAATCTTAATAATATATGATATTTTAAAATAGATTTTCTAAGAATCTATATATATATATATATATATATTATCCATTTGAATTTAAAAATCCCAAATGTAGTAATATATATATATATTTAGATTATTTTAGATTAATTAATTACATATATCCACCCAAATCCCAAATTTCTAATGAAATAAGAACACAAAACATTAACAAAATCAAAAAAATCAAAACTTTAAAACACCCATATTTTTAAAGAGAAATATAAATTTCAAATGTAAAATATATTATTTTTAAAATGGATTTATTAATAATCTAAATTTATATATCCTTTTAAATATAAAAAAATTAAAATGCACTCATCTATTATCTTTAAAATGGATTTCATGATTACTTCAAAAGAATGGATTTTCTGATAATTTAAATATATATCTTTTAAATTTTAAATTCTCAAATGTAGTTTTTATTTTTAGAGATTTCATAATAATCCTTTATTATTTGATTATTTTTAAATTTAAAAGGATAAAATATTACATATTAGAACAAATAATTTAACAAAACTTTTATAATCAATTATATTTCTCTATTTTTTTTTCTACCTTTATGTATGCTTCTTCATATTTTACGAAATATAAAGTTATAATTTATAAAAATATTTATTCATTTCTTCTATATATGTTGATGACATGTTTCTTATATTTAACTTACAAATATGTGTATTAAATTTTCTTTTTCGATAATCACTTTAATTTCTAAAATAAATTTTATGTTTCATAATACTAAAAAAATGGTGATCGACAAATTTACTTACAAGCTTCGAGTGGTAGTACCATGTGCAATGATACTATATGCACCTATCTCATACAAAGAATGATTGGCTTTTTATAATATAGAAGAAGTTGGCTTTAATTATTAAAATTTTCAATTCTAGTTGGCTTGATTTTCTCATTCCTGTTGGTAAATTGTGTAGACTACTTGATTGTAAGCATATTTTTTGCACTTGCAAAATAAAGGAAATGCCATATTTGCTGCAGGATGTTATTATTGTAGGCTATGAAATAAAGTAAAACCTTTAGTATATTATTTAAATATTTAAAATCATTTATTTCTTTTAAATAAATAAAATTTATTTTAAAGTTATATAAATTTGTAGGTATTTGAAAATGATCTCACAAGATGGAGATATATAAATTGAAGAAAGTTAATTTGAAGTGGTAAAACTTTTAATTTTTATTTTAGTATTTTGTTGCTATACTCAATATTATTATTTATAAAATCTTTTGGATATTTTATTTTTCTTCAAATATTATCTTTTATATTTTTTAAATTTTTTAAATTTTTAATAAAAAATTTTAATTTTATGATGATTTGATATCCTAATTATATTATATGTATTTTACATATATTTTAAACATATAAATGATTAAATAGTGTTAATTTATGTGTCTGTACATATTTAAATAACTAAAGATAATCTGTGAAATGCACGGATAATAAATTAGTATGAAAGATTTTAACATGTAAAATTTTTTTTTCGGCCAATAGATGCTTAAAATTGAATAAGGTAATCCTGTTAGCTGGTCGCAGGCCAGGTCCTAGCTTATGGAAGAATGGGGAGAATAAGTGTGGATTCGGCTGCTTTAAGAAATTTTACTTGTGCACATGTAATCCCTAGTAGAGCTACTTGTTTCTAGTTCTGTGAGGAGCAAAAAAGATGATGCACTATGCAGGAAACACAGATAGTTACCATATCCATTTTGATATCTCATTTGTACTTTGGCCTGGAGAGAGCTAGCAGAGCACCAGGGAAATGTAAAAGCTGAATATAAACCATCTTCACTCTCCTCCAAGGTTTTGAGCCTTGAGGTTCATAGGTCCTTACATAATCCACTAAACCTTGACAACCGTTAAAAAGGACTCGGGAAAACTAGGCCTCAATTAGTCCAAGCTGGGTTGAAACTGAGGAGTAGAAACAAACAGCTGGGACATGCACTGACTGCAACTTACAGTTACACAGCGTGAACCGTCCCTGATATCTAGAAAGAATAGATACTCGGGAGCTTTAAAGCCCAAATAACAACTTTACACTAGACTTAAGAGTTTTGAACCACGAACAAAAATATTTTATCTAACTAGGAGTCAGGTTTTGTAGAATTGAACTGTAGTTGATTTTCTGCTTACATTGCAAGATATAGCCAAATCCTTGTTGCTAGGATCTTGATTTACAAAGAAGGCAGAAGTGAGTAACTATCAGATATGGCAATTGAGAAGAGACAAAGCTAAAATATAATTAGATTAGCAACTGAAAATCTTACACCATAGAGATTCTAACATCTTTGTAAATACTTTACAAGATTATTAATAAAGACACCTGTTATATTTCCTAGCAGAAAGACAGTTACTCCTCCTTGATCCCTTTAAGGAGCTTCAGCACATGAAGCATGGTAGGTCTGTTAGCAGGATTTTCAGACAGGCAAACTTCAGCAATACTCAGCACTTGAAGCATCATCTGCTTTGAATCTGCATTCAGAACCATTGCATCTAAAACATCCGCAGCCTGACCCTTTTTGATCTTCTTTGTCACCCAGCCAACCAAATTCCCTCCTTCAATCTCCTTAAAATCAGGGCCTGTTGGCTCTTTCCCAGTCACCAATTCCAGCAGAATTACACCAAAGCTATAAACATCTCCCTTGGTAGTAGATCTACCACTCTGTCCATATTCTGGTGGAATGTAGCCAAATGTCCCTGCAATATCAGTACTAACATGAGTTTCACAAGCACTAATCAGTCTTGCCAGCCCAAAGTCTGCAACTTTTGGTTCAAAGTCTTCACTGAGTAAGATGTTGCTGGCTTTGATATCTCTATGAATGATATGAGGAATGAAACCATGGTGAAGAAAAGCTAGTCCCCGTGCAGCACCCATTGCAATTTTGAAGCGTTTGGACCAGTCAAGGACATCAAGAGCTCCACTGCGATTTCTCAACCAAAGATCCAAACTTCCATTAATCATGTATTCATAAACAAGAAGCTTCTCCT